GCTGGTAGTCACAGGCTGTGACCCAGAGCCGGGGACACTGTTTATGTGCCCTCCTCTACTCTAAAGTCAGTTCAGAATGCCCGAGGACTCAGATATGAGACCTGCCACTCCGAACAGGTGGGAAGAAATGTAAAGGAAACGCTTCAGAGCTTAGGCACAGGGAATGGGTTCTTCAATAAGACTTTAATAAGTCAGGGAATAATGCCAAGAATTGGCAAATGGGATTGAATGACATTAAACAGCATTTTAGAGGCTGTCCCTGGCGGTGCATTCCTATAATCTCAGCATGCAGGAGGCTGAGGCAGGAACATCATGAGTTCAAGACCAGCCTGGACTACATAGCAAATGCCTGTCTACACCCACACACCCACACACCCCCCCCCCCCCCCCCCCCCCACACTGTTCTGCATAGCAAAGCAAAGGAACACTTAACAGAGTGAAGAGACAGACTACGGAATGGGAGAAGTCTTTCCCAGCCACTCTTCTTCCAGGCGGTTAACACCAGAATACATAAATAACTAAAATCCACCAATGACATCAAATGAAGACAAAACCAAATGACCCAAAGAAGAGAAGGACAGTGGAACTGAACAGATATTTTGGACTCATAATTATATGAAAAAATCTTCAACACCCTTAGCCATTAGAGAAACGCAAAACAAAACCACACTGAGCTTCATCTCCCCCCAGTTAGAATGGCTGTCATCAAGAATATAAAAATCAACAAATTCTGGTGTGTGTATGGGAGAAAAGGAACCTATTCATTGTTGGTGGGAGAGGAGATTAGTATAGCCACTATGGATATCAAAGTGGAGAGTCCTCAGAAAAACTAAAAATACAGCTACAGTTTCATCTCGAGGTACCACTTCTTGGTATATCCTTGCTGTAATTAAAGTCAGTGTACACTAGAAGCTTACTGAGGTGCAATTCACAACAGTTTACAAAAAGAGCCTGGACGCCCGCAGACTGATGGGTGGGTGCAGGAGATGTGGTACTCACACGCCGTGGAGTACAGTGGAGCCATAGAAATGAAATAATGACATTGGCAGGAAAATGAATGGAATTGGAGATCACAGTATAAGTGAAGTAAGCCATACTCAGAAAGAAACACACAGCACGTTTTCTGTCATATGCGGGACCAAGAAGCACAAAAGAGATGAGAAGAAAGTAAAGAGAATATTAGAGAAGAGGAAGAGGAGCTGGGGTGAGGAACAGGAGGGGCAAAGAGGCTGGAAGGGGTGGGGAGCAGGGAGGTGTATTACGTGCAGATGTGCACATGCGGATGAAACCCATTATTCTGTGTAAATAGTGTGTGTTAAGAAATCAGCCTTCAATTCCTTTGTTTCATGTAACAGAGGTAACACACTGAGTGGCTGAATATTTCAATATCGAAGATCAATAAAGATGTCACCTGTAAATTTCGAGCCTGGCCAATTTTATGTTTCTGAAGAGCTCAGGCGCTGGATACATTTAGAGAACGGGGAAGGAATGCTGTAGTGAACGCTTGCAAAAGGCGGCCTCAGGCTCTTCCAGTGTTTTCGTTCTTGACCTGCGTGGCGACTCCACGGAGCCCGTGTGATGGTTCACCCACTCTGAGTTTCCGCATATCTGCTTCACCTGGTGCAATGACAAGGGAAGGCAACCAAAAACATAAAATTGGCAAAAACAGATAAAAGCAATGTTTTCAATTAGGGTGTGAATAAGTGCATAGGCTTCGTTAGTTATAAGGTGAAAGCAAATCGAGATCACGATTCCAAGCACTGTTATAGAATGGGGACCCGCTCAGCCTGGGCTTCCACCTCTGTCACAGGAAGAGCTAACAACCGTCCTCGTGGAAAACCCCACAACTAGAGGTCTTACACTCGTAAGGGTGGAAAGGCATCAACTGATAACACTTTTAAAGTATTTCTCTTAAAAGGACAGATGCTTAGTTTTTCAGTAAGATTTAAAGGTTATTTATATATTCGAAGAAAATTTACTACATTTTTAAATCTTAAAAGGGATGTTTATTTAATGTGCAGAATACAGTAAAACATGTAATCAGTCTGTCCTCTGAAAATTGACTAGAATTATAAGTGTATTCTTTTAGCTAAACAAAAGTGTTTTATTTGGAACTTTGGCCAGGAAAAAACAAAAACAGGAAGGAAGGAAGGCAAGTAGAAAGGAGGGTGGGAAGAAAAAATGAGGATGAGCCTGTGAAAGTTGGAAATAGTTTCTCTTTATCGTAATCTATTTCAACAAAAATGTATTCAAATGAAGACACAGTTTTAATAAGATTATCACAGATTTTGTTCCACCAGGCAGCACTAGCTATTCCTCTGGTGATGTTCTCAGTGTCGTGGTGGAGATGTTTGTCCAGAGCACATGGGTCAGCGGGCAGCACAGCGGAGCAGAGCCGGAGTAGAGAAAGGGAAGCAAAGAGGAGAGAGGACACCGCCCACACCGGAGTCATAGTGCCTCATGATCAGTAGTGACCTGCCTCTATTTTCACAGCTGCCTGAGTTAAAGCTTGTTAACCTGAAAGAAGTAGAACTGCACTTACTCTTCTGATTTTTCTTTTCGTGGAGTCTGTTTTTCCATCCTTTCTTCTTATTTTTGTGCCCTTGAAGGGGATGAGTCTGTGTGCAGTATACTCCTGGTGTCTCTCTTGCATAGTAGTTATTGGTAGGTGAGATTTTGCCACTCCCACTTTGTGAATTTACTCTGTAGTGTCATAGATTCACACTTCCTTCCTCTCTTGCTACCACCCTTAGTGATTAGATAATTTCCTGTAGTGATACACTTTGACTGTATTTTTTTGTGTTTATGCTACAGTTTTGTTTTTATCATGACCCACACATAAAAGACTTTACAAATTGTTATATTGATAAAAAGTCACAAAAATATTTCTGCCTTTGCTATTCCTCATTTTATGCTTTGGAAGTCACCACTCACACACCTTGTTTGGTATTTTATATCTCTTAACACATTACTGCAGCTACTATTATTGTAATAGTTGCCCTTACATTTCAGCTTGAAGATATATCTGATTTAAAAACTGCCATTACAATATTATAGTATCATGAATTTGACAGTGTGTTCACTTTAGTGAAGTTTATACTTTTATATGGTTTTGAGTTATTAATTTGCTTTCTTTATTTCAGTTTGAAGAACTCAATTTAGCATTTCTTGTAAAGCTGGTCTAATGTTGATGTCCCACAACTTTTGTTAATTTGAAAAGTCCTTATATTATCTTCCTTTCTATGAACAGCCTTTCTAGATATAATACTTATTTGGCTTTTTTTTTTTTTTTTTTTTTTTTTTT